TTTTTTTTTTTTTTTTTTTGTGGTGGTTTCAGGTAATGGCACGGTCTTTGCCTTCAGACAAGCTCGCCTTGGTAACCCATTTAAAAAATATGTTTGCAGAAGTTGTTGCAGTGACTGGTGATGGTACCAATGATGCTCCTGCTTTGCACCGGTCAGACATTGGACTTGCCATGGGAATATCTGGAACGGAGGTTTGGTTTGTTTGCATACATAATTTCAAGTAATGAGTTGATGCTTGTATTGTCCTCTTATTATACCCTGACATAGAAATCTGATTTCATTCTGCGACAATATTAGCTATTTTGGATGTGAGTTCTTCCGCTGACCTGCCCAGATTTCCTTTTTCTAATCAGCTGGCAAAATCTACAGGTCGCTAAGGAAAATGCAGATGTCATCATTATGGATGATAATTTTTCAACTATAGTAAATTTGGCAAAGTGGGGACGTGCAGTTTATATAAACATACAAAAGTTCGTGCAGTTCCAGTTGACTGTCAACGTCGTTGCTCTGGTGATTGACTTTGTTTCCGCATGCATCACAGGTGCAGTGTAATTTCTAAGCAAGTTATTCCACAAGCCACTGTAGTTCTTTTTGTCCAGTTATTATCTGAATTTGTGACCCTCATTACATTCTGCACAACTCTTCAGGATCTGCCCCCCTCACTGCTGTGCAGCTGCTTTGGGTCAACATGATCATGGACACTCTTGGCGCATTGGCACTGGCTACAGAACCTCCCAATGATGAGTTGATGAAGAGGCCCCCAGTTGCTAAGGGCGCCAGTTTTATTACCAAAGCAATGTGGAGAAACATCATCGGTCAGAGTATTTACCAATTGATTGTCCTTCTATTACTAGATTTCGATGGGAAGAGACTCTTAGGGCTGACTGGTTCGGATGCTACTGAAGTTCTGGATACCGTGATATTTAACTCATTTGTGTTTTGCCAGGTATGATATGATAATATCAGGTTCAACCTGTTGCTTTCTTGCAAGAATTTTAGATAAAGCATAAACAATTACCATACTTGATTATTTTTCTTTTCCAGGTGTTCAATGAAATCAACAGCCGCGATATCGAGAAGATCAACGTGTTCAAAGGCATGTTTGATAGCTGGATATTCCTAGTTGTGATAATTTCAACAGTGGTCTTCCAAGCAATCATAGTTGAGTTCCTTGGAAATTTTGCCACCACTGTACCGCTCAGTTGGCAGCTATGGCTCCTCAGCGTAGCAATCGGATCAGTTAGCCTGGTTGTTGGCATCATTCTCAAATGCATCCCTGTTGAAAGCACACCCAAGCCAAGCCACCATGATGGCTATGAACCTCTTCCTGGTGGTCCAGATGCGGCCTGAAAATTGATTTCCGAAGAATTTGAAGTGCAATTGACAGGTGTTGCAACTTTGTCCTTCTCATTTATTAAAAAAATATTATATAGTTCAAATTACCTAACTTAAATCATTAAATAAGATCCAAATGCTAATATTAGAAAGTATTCCCATCTATTGTTTTGTGTTTTGTAATATGCTATAAGGGATACTTTCTATTAAGTCACAATTGATAATTATCTAAAAAAGAAAAGATCTTAGGAGTATTGTTTTTTTTTTTTCTTTTTGTCTTTTATGCGTCTAACTTAGATTAGATCCAAGGTGATATTTTGGATTGGTAATTGTACTTTTGAAACACCAATAATACCAAATGGTATAGGATGCTTCTGATGTGTGTTGGTTACTCTTAGCATCAATGCAATCAAATCAATTTCATCCTCAACTCTTTATTCTTTGTCTTTTTTTCGTATCATCTCATGTGAATTTTATGACCTCTTAAGATATCCATTTGAAATTGCATATACCCCATCTCTAAAATGGTCTCGGGGTGCATAAACACTGCTGTCCAAGCCAACTAAAAAATCAAACCATAGAATGAAGCGTGTCTCAATTGAGGTTTTCCCTGCTTTGAAAAGAAAGAACTAATATGCCCCAAGAGGGTGTCTCTACTGATTAAGAACTTTTGAATGATCCAATAATCTGATGTACTAAAAAATAGAAAGAACTGATTCAGCTACAACAAGATGTCCCAAATACATCAGAACAACGGATAGGTGTAAATTGCAGCAATATGCTTGCTTGTATACATGACACATAAAATACCCCCAAATAAATTATCAACTCTCACTCTAAAAGAAGTACAAAAACACTACTCACTGAGAATATTCTGGCTTCATGAACTGGATCCAAGAAAGCAAAAAATTCTCTGGTAAGTGAAAAGGAAAAATTGGTAAAAAAATGCATGTATCATTCATCTAAACCTCCGTTTAGCTTCTCCATACGCAACAACCCCAAGGACAGTCATTGTGTACCCAGCAATGCCTGTGAAGGTGACAGGGTTTCTGAAGATAAGTATTGAGATAACAACTGCTACAGCACCTTTTGCATTGCCTAATACCTGAACACAGATTATCCCAAACAAAAAAATGTCAAATGATGTTATCGCACAATGAAAAAGGGGAAAGGTTCTAAGCGTATGATCATCCTTTTTTTTTTTTTTTCTTCTTGATGTAGCATTCTATTGTCCCTATTGTCAAAGAAATGTTCTCAATGAATCTTATTACACATAAGTTAACATGGGTATTTCAGTCATTTCAACTAATGCGGGTTTGGAGGCCCCCAAGAGTAGGCATCAAGGTTTAAATCCTTCCAAAGGAGCCATTAGAAGTTTCTAGTCTACCCTTTCTGGTGCCATTTTAGTCATTTGGATAATGGAAACCATAGGTGAATATTGCTAGGAACCAAGCTAAGTATTTGGCTGTTTGGGTGACTGATTAGAAATGTTTTGGTCAAAACATCAATGGACAAGAATGCTACAGTCACAGTATCTTATAATCTATATGAAGGGTTTATTAGAAAGAAACTAGAGAAGGCATAAAGATATCAAACCTGGAGTGTTAGCGCACTAGTATGTTTTGTGACCAAGAAGTTTGACAAATTAGCTGAATACGCCAATGTTGAATTAACAAAGAGAAGCAGCCACATTAATTTGTGTTGTCTCCCAAGAGATAAGGTCTCTTCTAGTACATTTGGCTCCATTACAATTGCTGCGGGCAATAAAGCTAGAACTGCAATTGGTGACATGTAGAGCAGCAAATTCATTGAGTTTAACTTTTCTCTGTAAAAGTATAACGACAGGATAAACCAAGTAGTTAGAGGAAAAACCAGTGCATATATATATACAGGACAAAAAAAGAATACAAAACCAGCAATTGTTTAGACTATCGCAAATTTTTTCATAGAACTCTCAAAAATGACAATTAAATAAACTTCAACAAATGACTTGGATTTTGTAACAGCAATAACATCAAGAATAACCCAAATCCATAAAGAATTGCACAAGTTGTAAGTGAGGAACCATTGAAATAAAGCATTTACCCTTCAGAAGAAAGCAGGATGCCCTGAAGAACAGACTTGAAGGCCCTTGCAGCAGTTGCACTAATGCACATGATGAATCCAAACCAGTGAAAACCAGGCTCACCCTGCCACCAATGAAAGAATTCTAGGCTTAAATTTCATTAAACAAGGCAGAAGAATTCTAAGCTCTTTCACAGCATAACCAACATGAAGTCTTTAATCTTTGCAATGACACAGCAGCAGAACTATATAGAAGCAATAATTGATCTTATTCATATTTCATTAAGCAGTGGTAAAACAGAAGGCCAGTCAAATGTCTAAACCTAATAACTAAACATCATCTGGTGCAGCATAGACAAGATAACGTAGGTCTCCAGAAACAAATATAGAATCTCTCTTGGAAATTCAGGCAGCTGCTAAATTACAGTTTAGGTCTCTGCTTAACTTCAGGAGAACACCCGTCTTTAATTTATCATTATAAGAGACATGAAATATCAAGAACTGAAATTAATAATAAAGTGCTATGACCTTGATATCATAACTTATATCTAGAAATAAATGCTTCATAATGTCTATAATACTTCTAGGTTCCTCAGAATTTCCATAATTTCAGAAATTCTACACTTCTTAGCTGCATTCCTAGTGAAAAACCCATCTACATAGAAAATCCATTCCGTTAATCCATGCGAGTTTACAGAGCATAGCTGCAGCATGATACTGAAAGGTTGAACCCTAGTATTTGCCTACTTGACAGACACTAAAATATATGAATGCCACAGATAACAGGGCAACTTCTATGCTCCGATATTAACTTTTCCTCTTCAGGTATTGCTGTTGCAAGTTTTTAGATTACTCTGCCAAGAAATCTAGCTTAAAATCTTAACTGCCAAAAATCATCCGAGAACAAAAATGCTGGAGATTTAACCACTTCATCCTTACGTCTCTTAACGTTCCATATGAGATATACAACTAAGAGATCTGCTCATATATCATGATATCATGTAGAAGCATCGATTATTATCAACAAACCATTATAAACAGATGACAGATCTGGCATCACATTACCGTATATACATTGCACAAAAGAAACTTAAAATCAAACAACAGCTCAAGAATAAGAGCATGAATGAATCAAGATCAGAAACATAAACACTCACCATCAAGGAACTAACAAGTTTTACAATTCAACGAAGGAAATTTATGATTCTAAATTCCAATTAGACATAGAAACAAAAATTCTGAATTTTTATTTTGCTTTCATCTATTGATGATCTAATAAAGAAAAACATACCCCACTTGCAATAATCACACCAGTAACAACAGGCACAAGAGCAGCGTAGGTAAGCCAAGCCTCCCTCTTGAGGGTCATCAAGTAGGCAAACAAGGCGGTGAAAAACGGCGTGGTGGCTCCGACAGCCTGATTGAAGGACACAGGGAGGTACCTGAGAGAAATGTTGCCCCCAACAACAGACCCACAAAAGACAATGCTCAAAGTTGCAATCTTGAGGAACTGGGACCTAGATTTGACATGCTGGAGAGGCACAACCTTCAAGAAAACAATGGAGATGTAGCTGAGTAGGGCACAGGCAGCCATGTGACACATTGTGAGGAAGATTGGGAATCTGAAGCCATAGTTGGAAAGCAGGAACTTGTTCAAGAGTAGAACACCAATGTTGGATGAATACCAGAGGATGACGAGGGAAGTTATGAAAAGGGTTTGTTTCTTTGATGATGAAGATGGTTGGGATGTTGACATTTTAGTTTCTTCAGGTGAAAATGGTGGAACTTTGGGGTTGGATTTGTTGAGGAAGAAAAAGAAGAAGAAGGAGAAAGCTCTGTTGAGAGCTTCAATGGAAATTGAGTTGATTAAGATTCTTATTTTTTATTTTTTAAAGGAATTTTGCTTTACTATTATTTTAGCCCTTTCAGTTTTCCTGTCTTTTTCCAGTTACTGAAATATCAACGAGAGAGAGCAGATGTGTCTATCGGTTTGTTTGCCCGAGTGTCCGGAGCTGCTGTTCTTTTTTTTTTTTTTTTTGGTAAATGGAGCTGTTATTGTTGCTTGTTAGAATATGCCCACAATGTGTAGTATTAAATTTTCTTAAAAGATACTACTTTTATTGCAAGGTGTCTCACTTTGAAGCTCTAGAATACTTACGTAAAGAAAATTAATTTTTTGAGTAGTAAGCGGCGTAGTGATACATTCGATTTTTTTGTTTTTTGGTAGAAAGTGATACATTCGATGAAATTTTGACAGCAATGATTTATCATAATTTATATTATTAAATACACCTGACCTTCGGATCAATTAATGTAGTATCAACTTGAGATGTTTTTTTTTT